TGCTCAAGGACACTGTAAACATGAGTATGTGGTTTTATATGTGTTGGACATAATATTTGTTGGAGATACTGTTGTTGTTATTATTCCTGTTGAGCTATTGTGTACTTCATGTGTGTACAATCATTACTGCAACAACAAAAACTACTTGAAACATTTTTATTCGCCTGTGTGTTTTTGTTTTATTTATCCCATTCTTCGAAATATATGTGGGATAATACAGTAAGCGTGATATTTAGAGATTTGTGGTCAAGGGAAACTTTTTGGTTACCAAAGATCGTTGTAGTAGCATCTAACTCTAAACACACACACACATTCGTATATGCATACTGTGCTTGTGAATGATGGATTGTAACAACCAGAGCACCGATTTGCTCGATTTTACTCGCGAGTGAAAAATACTCCCGAGTAGGAGTAAGTAAAGAGTACGAGTTTTTTAGGGAGTATACTCTCCACTCTTTTATTTTGTTTGGGATTGCTCGCGAGTACTCCTTGTTGAAGAAAAAGAGTGCGAGTCAAAATGTTCGAAATAGAGTAAGAGTTCACTCTAAGAGTGAAGTCGAGTGGACAAATAAATTTGGTTGTTTGGTTATTTGTGTGTGTGTAGTAGCAACATTTTTTTTGATGTTGATCTTTTGTGTGCTGTTGGGAGATAGATCATGTTCTAAAAACATAAAAGGACATTGATTATTTTGTTTATTAAAAATGTTTACACATCTTATATGAAATAAAAATCTTATATGAAATGACTTACATAAAGAGAACGCAGAGAACGAACTTGTTGATGCATGCTTTCCCAGCAGTACTGCAAACCAAACATCACAAAACAAACAATGCACACAAACAACATCAAGTGTATCACAAACAAAAATAAAAATAAAAGAGTACTCGGCAAGAATGTAATCTGCTCGATTTCGAGCGTATTTCACTCCCACTCGAAAACGAGCGAAGCACTTGCGCTCTTATTTGAGTGGCAGAGAAAAATAGAGTATACTCTATTTACTTTTTCTACTCGCAGGAGTACTCCCGCTCGAATTCGAGCGAGTTTCACTCTTTACTCGAATTCGAGCGAGCATTTCGGAGCTCTGGTAACAACAGTGGTTTTGATACGAAGAAGCCCCGACTGTTTTTAAGAACGTACAGTGTGTGTGTGTATAAAAACCATTTGGTTTTTATACACACACACCAGAGCGATGGTGTATTAATTAATTATTACAACAGACGGACGGACATGGCTAGATCGTATTAAAACTTTTCTTTATAGGGTCGGAAATGAATATTTACATGAATCCTTAACTTTTATATCATATATTTATTAATGAATGAATATATACTTATAAATGCTACCCTTATATATTTATTCGTATATTTATACCATTCAGCACACTGTGGTACAGGGTATTATGTCTTTGTGCATATGTTTGTAACAGGCAAAAGGAAACGAGATAGGCCCATGGTTCCTTTTGAGAATATGAATAGATTCACTTTTTAAGTCGATTTAAGCATGTCCGTCGGTCCGTCTGTCTGTCTGTCCATGCATTTATGATCCGAATTGGATGAAATTTGGCACAGCTCATTTGTTTGGCCCAAGGGAAAAATCGGTTCAGATTTAGATATAGCTCCCATATATATTTTCGTCCGATTTAATGTAAATGGTGTACCAAAGTCCCTATATATCTTTCTATTTGCACGAAATTTGGTACAACGTACTGAATTGGGCTTAGAGTGATGTCTGCCAAATTTAGTGAAAATCGGTTCAGATTTAGATATAGCTCCCATATATAGTTTCGCCCGATTTCATGTAAATGGTGCACCAAAGTCCTATATATCTTTCGATTTGCACGACATTTGGCATAACGTACTGAATTGAGCCTAGTAATATGTGCGTGAAAACCAAAATTCCATATATATATATCATGTAAATTGTTCGTATATTTGCACGAAATTTGGCATAACGTACTGAATTGAGCCTAGAGTGATGTCTGCCAAGTTTCGTGAAAATCGTTCCAGATTTAGATATAGCTCCTATATATAGTTTCGTCCGATTTCATGTAAATGGCGCACCAAAGTCTCTATATATCTTTCGATTTGCACGAAATTTGGCATAACGTACTGAATTGAACCTAGTTTCGTGAAAATCGTTCCAGATTTAGATATAGCTCCTATATATAGTTTCGTCCGATTTCATGTAAATGGTGCACCAAAGTCTCTATATATCTTTCGGTTTGCACGAAATTTGGCATAACGTACTGAATTGAGCCTAGAATGATGTCTGGTCCAGATTTAGATATAGCTCTCATATATAATTTCGTCCGATTTCATGTAAATGGTGCACCAAAGTCCCATTTGCACGAAATTTAGCATAACGTACTGCTGGAATGATGTGTGCTGAGTTTCGTGAAAATCGATTTAGATCTAGATGTATATATTTTCGTCCGATTTAATATAAATAATGTATCAAGTTCTTATGTTGCATAGCGATTTGAATTTAATCCAGAATGATGTGTGCCAAGTTTCGTGAAAATCGGCGAAGACTTAGATATAGCTCCCATATATATTTTCGTCCGATTTAATGTAAATGGTGCACCACATGCATCCTTCGATTTGGACAAAATTTTGCATAGCGGTCTGAATTGATGCTTGAACGATTTGTGCTGAGTTTCGTGAAAATCGATTCAGATCTAGATATATATATATATATATATATATATATTTTGGGTCCGATTTAATCGAAATAATGTACCGAGTTCTTATGTTGCATAGCGTTTTGAATTTATATATGTGTATATATATATATATCTCCCTTATATTATAGATTGATTTTAAGTAATTGCAAAGTAAACGCATCAAGGAACCAATAGTATAGGAACAAAACGTACTAAAATTAGTATAACCTAACCTGTGACAAGTTTCGTTGAAATCGGTTCTTATTTGGATATAGCATCCATATATAAATAAATTGTGCATCAAACTCCTCATATTTGTTAGATTGATATCAAATTTTGCAAAACGTACAAAATTGAGCATAGAATAACGTAGTTGGGTTTTCTAGAAGTACAGACCTTGCCCAACGGATGACCTATTGATATTTGTTTGGAAGTCGATTTACATACTTTTGTTCCATTGTAACAAACGTTTATGGATAGATCTAGGTTGTTTCACATTTAGATAAATATCACATATTTTATTTCATACAATTTCATGATAATAGTCTTGTTTAATATACCCATAGTGGTGAAGGGTATCATATAGTCGTCCCCGTCCCCCTTTACTACTTTCCTCACTGGTTTATAAATGTTTTTGCATGTTTTAACTTTCATTACAGGACCTGGCGAAGAAATACGGACAGATAATATTAAACAACTTTTGTAGTGTTTGCGGTTTATTTGGGATACAATTTGTATTTGTTTTTGCATAATAGTCAGGCTGAATCCCAGTTTGTTGTTTTTATAAAAACAACTATTTATTAGTGGGGAATGTAAGACTTGTTAAACTCGAAGTGAGGCACCAGCGAAATTCTTATGCAGTTTATTTCGTTCGTCAGCTAAGTACTTCGCTTTGTTACAAGATACATTTGGGTATGAAAGATTTTTTGTATAGAATCAATTATCCGCTGCCAAAATTTCGTGAATATAGAACAAACGTAGACTCCTCGGTGCACCATTTCCATACAATCTGACGAAAATTTAGCTATATCTAAATTTGAACAGAATTTCATTTTGCGGACGACCACCTGCAGTAATTTCAGGACGCTGTACAAAATTTTGTCTCAATCTTGCAAATATTGACAATATGGTGCACAATTTACATAAAATCGAAGGAAACTATATATGCGAGCTATAGCTAAATCTGAACCGAGCCCTACAAAACTTCGCATACATCAATCCAGACCTAATTCAGTACGCTGCTTAAATCGAACAAATATTGGCAGTGTGGTACTCCATTTACATAAATCGGAGAAAACTATATATGTGAGCCAGCAACGTACACAGGATTTCATTTCGGGGGGCCCGGTAGTACAAAATGAAAAAATGCGCTGTTGCAAACATAAATTTACTTTGAAAAAAATTCATTTCATCCCTGCGAACGTCCCTGATGTGTGCTATATTTAAATCTGAACCGACTCCATCAAAACTTGGCATACATCAATCTGAACCTAATTCAGTACTCTGTGTAATTTTGTCTCAATCGGACCAATATTGGCAGTATGGTGCTCCATTTACATAAAATAGGACGAAACTATATATATAACTTGGTTTTTCATTTTCCCAAATAGAAATCCTACATGCAGATTCAAATTTTATGAAATTTTGAATACATACTACATGGCGGAGTGTTACTTATTTATTATATCATATGTTTTAGGCACACTTTCATTTATATGGGACTGCAAACTTCATTTCAAATAACCATTGTATACAAATCGAACTTAAAAACTTTATTAATTCATTAATTATTTATTTATTTTCATGATTATACGTTGTTAAAAAAATTTCGAAATATGTATTCCATTTCATCATTTCAAACCACTGTACAATTTATATTAAAATTGGCAAAAGGCATATGCTGTTTTTTTCAATACTAAACTAAGAAGGACTATAACGGATGAGCGGAGTACAAACATATGAACGAATGGTCAGACAAATACCTAGGCAGACTGCCAATACAATAACCCAAACAATGCTATTCCAATGTATGTATGTTCGGGCCCATTTAATGCTCTAAGCTGGGATCGCCACTTTATTCCTCAATTGTACATAGTTTAGAATGCTGGCGTGATATAATACTGTTGTGATGATGGTACTGCTGTTGTTGTTGCTGCTGTTGTTGTTGATTTTGATTCTGATTCGTATGTTGTTGATGGTGGTGCTGCTGCATTTGGTATTTCGATGAAGAAAGCTTGGAACTCTTTGCTGTCATTGTTTGGTTGCTTGTTGTAATTCCTGGATTTTTAAATTTATGCTCTTGTTGCTGGTAGTGTTGTTGATGCTGCATTCCCAATTTCAACGGCTGCTGCTACTACTGCCAGCACCACCATAACGCAGCTTATTGTGATGCACATAAATACCGGTATCACGCAACTTCCGGTACAATGAAATATACTTGCACAGCTGTTGTCGTCCTAGGAACTATATACTTTTCACAGAATGTCGTTTTACAGCTGGCCGCCTCGCTTAACTTCTTATACATCAGTGCTTATCCTCGTGATAATGTGACATAGTCCACTTGTCCGGCTGCTTGCATACCTAGAAATAATCCACATGCAGTGATGAGAAAACGCAAAGGAGAAAATGTCAGAGTTAGTATGTCGTGTTCGTTTCTAATGTATGCACAAAAAATTATATATGCAGTTGTTTTCAGTTTTTGGTCTGCGACCATGTCATGCAATGGAGGAGGATTAACGTTATGACATCAAGTGATTTACAAAATGAGCGTCGAAATTGGGTATGGTGTTTACTCTTACGATATGATAAGGATGTATGGCAACAAAATTGAAATTGCTTATGTCAGTGCAATTGTTTTATGCTTAATAATTGACGCTTAGAAGTTGGATGGAACCAAAAAAGATATTCTTACAAATTCGACTTTTAAAATTTTGATAGAATTTTTGTTCTTACAAGATTTGGAGAGGACCGTCAGCATGGATTTTTTGTAAAATAATTGTTTAATGATTATAAGGACCACTAGGAGGTTGAGTTTTAATAAATATTTTAAAAATCCAAAAGGACCACATGTGTATATTTTTTTAATAATTTTTTTAAGGCAATATGGATATCAATCGAAGTTCTTTTAATAACTATAATGCCCAAAAACGTAGATTTTTTAAACATATTTTTGGAAGGACCTCAAGAGTAGATTTAAATACAATACACAACTATCTTGCAACGGTATTATATCAGTGTGTGATACTAAGAGTTTATAATGCCTCGAAATAATTGTAAAAGACCTACTTTTAATATATCTACCGTAATATCTAGACTTGCTATGTCGTCTAGATCGACTTATCCGTCTTGCCATAATTATTTGTAAAGCAGTTATGGACCAATCGTCACAAACTTTTGCATGTTATATCGGTACTGATCTAGACTATTAAATTCTCAAATTCTACATCTTAAATTTGAAACCAGTAAGGAGAGTAGTAAAGTCGGACAGGGCCGACTATATGATACCCTTCGCCACTTTGGGTATATTCAACAGATGGAATCCTAACAGACGTCGTATTTTTGAAGGACCATTAACATGAAACTTAATATTTCATTCTGCAAACTATACTAAATTTTGGTCAGATATAGAGTTGCTTCTTACATTGTGACAAAATTGTGCAAACAAATTTAAAGATAAGTATTAAATCTAAACCGAGTACATTGAAACTTGTCACATGTTAGGTTACACTTATTTCAGTATGTTTTGTGCATTCCGCCAAATTTTGCTTTCTTCATTTACTTATAAATTCAAATTTTGTGCAAATCGAAGGATATATGGGGATTTTGGTGCACCATTTACCTAAATCGGACGAAAATATATATAAGAGCTATAACTAAATCTGGGCCGATTTTGACGATATTTAACACATCTTTCTAGACTTAATTCAGTACACTATGCCAAATTTCGAGCAAATTAAAGGATATATAGGGACCTTGCTGCACCATTTACATAAAATCAGACGAAAATATATATCGGAGCTATATCTAAATCTGGACCGATTTTCAAAAATTTAACACACATCTCTCTAGACATAATTCAGTACGCTTTGCAAAATTTCGTGCAAATCGAAGGATATATAGGGACTTTGGTGCACCATTTACATAAAATCGGACGAAAATATATATGGGAGCTATATCTAAATCTGAACCGATTTTCAAGAAATTTAACACATATCTTTCTAGACTTAATTCAGTACGCTATGCCAAATTTCGTGCACATCGAATGATATATAGGGACTTTGGTGCACCATTTCGTAAAATCGGACGAAAATATATATGGGAGCTGTATCTAAATCTGAACCGATTTTGACGAAATATCGTTCTCGACTTAATTCAGAACGACTTGCCAAATTTCGTGCAAACGTATATAGGGATTTTGGTGCACCATTTACCTAAAATCGGACGAAAACAATAGGGTTCTTTCTTGGGCCAAATAAATGAACTGTGCCAAATTTCATCCAAATTGGATGATAAATGCGACCTGTACTTTGTTTACAATTTAACATCAACAGACGGACGGACATGCATAAATTGACTCAGAAAGTGATTCTATGCCTGTTCTTAAAAGGAACCATGGGTCTATCTCGTTTCATTTTGCCTATTACAAACATATGCACAAAGACATAATACCCCGTACCACAGTTTGGTGATGGGTATAATGAGAAGAAATTGAAGATGTTGACCAATAGCGTGCAAATATCGCGACATATTGACTCGAAATATAGATCGCCAGAAAGTATGTTACCATACACGTATCCGACTATACAGCTCCGCTCACTGGCTTCAAAACCAATAAAATTTAAAAATAAACGGCAGTTGTAACCAGTGAGCGGAGCAGTATAGTCGGACGGGGCCGACCATATGATACCCTACACAACTTCCATGAAAATCTAATTTTCTGTGGTTCTATATTCTGAGATTGGGCAATATTTGCACACTTTTGACTGGCTAGAGGTCAGCAAATGTTACTAATAATCAGTACAGCACCTCTAATTACTTGTCCAGATTCCCTTCACCGTGGGTTGTGTTGTGATGTTCGGCTTTCGATGCAAATAATTAAGTTTTCGGTCCTCTTCATCCGAAAAAATATTATCTGATCATCACCTAACATTTTAGGCGTTGTCCTTGACCATAACTGGAACCTCATGGAACATTTCAAAGCGATCAAAGCTATATTTCCGCCCTCCAGTGTGGTAATAGGTTACTAAATAATATATGAATACGTAAGCACCTGTAAATATTTAAGTGTAACTCCCGCACCCAAGTACCTACGATAATATAATTGGTATCAATTTAAAGGTCAACCACTCCTCTTCGATATACTATCAAATTCTCGGGTCTATGTCCTTTAGTGGTAAATATATACGCTATAGAATACAAATTTTGTAATTTTTCACACAAAAGTCAAGGTCCATTTGACCCGCTAAATATTGACCGATCTTTATCAAAACAAGCATGCATATTCTTAGGCCCGATCACCTTCTCCATGTAAAATTTCACGATGTTCGGACCATAATTGCGGCCTCTGGAGCGACCAGAAAAACCGACAAAAATTTAGTATTTGGTCCATTTCATCCTCTAAATATTAACCGATCTTTATCAAAAACAATAGGGGTCTTCATTGGCTAGAACCCATCCTACATGCAAAATTTCGTGAAGATTGGTACATAACTGTGGCCTGTATCGTGTTTACAAATTATAATGGACAGACGGACGGACACACATATCTAGATCGACTCAGCTAGTCGAGAAATGACGATCGGTATACTTAAAGGTGGGTCTAGGACCAATATTTCGCGGCGTTACAAACTTTTGGGGCTGCACAAAACTATAATACCCTGACAACATAGTTGTGTAGGGTATAAAAATCAAAGCCTTTTATTTTCCCTTCCAAAAAGAATCTATTAAAAAATCCATGCCTTGTGTTGGTCCTTCAAAAAATATCCCTTTAGAAAACTACGCATTGTGTTGTTCCTTCCAAAAAATATTTTTTTAAGAAATCAATGCTTTTTGTTGTACCTTTCAAAAACTCTCCATCAAAAAATCCATCCCTCGTATTGGTCCTTCGAAAAAATATTCTTTAACCAGTAAGGAAAGTAGTAAAGTCGGACGGGGCCGACTATATGATACCCTTCACCACTATGGGTATATTAAGCAGGACTATAACATAAAATTGGATGAAAAAAATGTGATATTTATCTAAATGTGAATCTACCTAGATCTATCCATAAAGTATGTCAATCGACTTCAAACAAATATAAATAGGTCATCCGTTGGGCTATGTCTGCACTTCTAGAAAACGCAACTACGTAATTCTATGCTAAATTTTTTAAGTTGTGCAAAAATTGATGTCAATCTGACTAACATGAGGAGTTTGAATGCCCAATTTACTAGAAATCGGGCGAAAATATATATGGAAGCTCTATCCAAATATTGAGCGATTTCAAACAAACTTGTCACAGGTTAGGTTATACAACTTTCAGAACGTTTTATTCCAATTGGTTCCTTAGTACGTCAATTACTTAAAATCAATCTATAATAAAAGGGAGCTATATCTAAATCTGGACCGATTTTCACGAAACTTGGCAGACATCATTCTAGGCTCAATTAAGTACGTTATGCCAAATTTCGTGCAAATCGAAGGATATATAGGGACTTTGGTGCACCATTTACATGAAATCGGACGAAACTATATATGGGAGCTATATCTAAATCAGGACCTATTTTCACGAAACTTGGCAGACATCATTCTAGACTCAATTCAGTACGTTATGCCAAAATTCGTGCAAATCGGAAGATATTTAGCGACTTTGGTGGACCATTTACATCAAATCGGACGAAACTATATATGGGAGCTATATCTAAATCTGGACCGATTTTCACGAAACTTGGCAGACATCATTCTAGACCTAAATGATTAGGCTGTACCAAATTTCGTGCAAATCGAAAGATATATAGGGACTTTGGGGCACCATTTACATGAAATCGGACGAAACTATATATGGGAGCTATATCTAAATCTGGACCGATTTTCTCCAAACTTGGCATACATCACTCTAGGCTTAATTCAGCATGTTATACCAAATTTCGTGCAAATCAAAAGATATATAGGGACTTTGGGGCACCATTTACATGAAATCAAAAAATATTTTTTTAAGAAATCAATGCTTTTTGTTGTACCTTTCAAAAACTCTCCATCAAAAAATCCATCCCTCGTATTGGTCCTTCGAAAAAATATTCTTTAACCAGTAAGGAAAGTAGTAAAGTCGGACGGGGCCGACTATATGATACCCTTCACCACTATGGGTATATTAAGCAGGACTATAACATAAAATTGGATGAAAAAAATGTGATATTTATCTAAATGTGAATCTACCTAGATCTATCCATAAAGTATGTCAATCGACTTCAAACAAATATAAATAGGTCATCCGTTGGGCTATGTCTGCACTTCTAGAAAACGCAACTACGTAATTCTATGCTCAATTTTTTAAGTTGTGCAAAATTTGATGTCAATCTGACTAACATGAGGAGTTTAATGCCCAATTTACTAGAAATCGGGCGAAAATATATATGGAAGCTCTATCCAAATATTGAGCGATTTCAAACAAACTTGTCACAGGTTAGGTTATACAACTTTCAGAACGTTTTATTCCAATTGGTTCCTTAGTACGTCAATTACTTAAAATCAATCTATAATAAAAGGGAGCTATATCTAAATCTGGACCGATTTTCACGAAACTTGGCAGACATCATTCTAGGCTCAATTAAGTACGTTATGCCAAATTTCGTGCAAATCGAAGGATATATAGGGACTTTGGTGCACCATTTACATGAAATCGGACGAAACTATATATGGGAGCTATATCTAAATCAGGACCTATTTTCACGAAACTTGGCAGACATCATTCTAGACTCAATTCAGTACGTTATGCCAAAATTCGTGCAAATCGGAAGATATTTAGCGACTTTGGTGGACCATTTACATCAAATCGGACGAAACTATATATGGGAGCTATATCTAAATCTGGACCGATTTTCACGAAACTTGGCAGACATCATTCTAGACCTAAATGATTAGGCTGTACCAAATTTCGTGCAAATCGAAAGATATATAGGGACTTTGGGGCACCATTTACATGAAATCGGACGAAACTATATATGGGAGCTATATCTAAATCTGGACCGATTTTCTCCAAACTTGGCATACATCACTCTAGGCTTAATTCAGCATGTTATACCAAATTTCGTGCAAATCAAAAGATATATAGGGACTTTGGGGCACCATTTACATGAAATCGGACGAAACTATATATGGGAGCTATATCTAAATCTGGACCGATTTTCACGAAACCTGGCAGACATCATTCTAGACCTAAATGATTAGGCTGTACCAAATTTTGTGCAAATCGAAAGATATATAGGGACCGTTTACATTAAATCGGTTAAATATATATATGGGAGCTATATCTAAATCTGAACCGATTTTTCCCAATTTCAATAGGGTTCGTCCTTGGGCCGAATAAGTGACCTATGCCAAATTTCATCCAATTCGGATCATAAATGCGACCTGTACTTTGTTTACAATTTAACATGGACAGACGGACGGACGGACGGACATGCATAAATCGACTCAGAAAGTGATTCTATGCATATTCTCAAAAGGAACCATGTGTCTATCTCGTTTCCTTTTGCCTGTTAGAAACATATGCACAAAGACATAATACCCTGTACCACAGTGTGGTGAAGGGTATAAAAAATTTACATGGTTTGATCCTTCAAATAAAACATTTATTTTTAAATCCAAGCCTATGTTGGTCCTTAAAAATGTTCAAAAAACCTCTATGACAAAAAAAAACCTCTATGACGTACCAGGGCTCTGGAACATCACCCACCAATAGACATTGCCACCAATCTGTCATATTGGCTGTACGATGACGTCGTAAGCCATGCCGATCAAATTCGACAACACAACCGGTCGATGTTGTCACAGCAATATGCAAATCCGTGGTATCATTATAATCACTGAAAAAGGGAAAGAAAAGCCACAATTATGCATACAAACACACACCCGTACACATGAAGAGAGATTTCATTACAAAGGGGTATACATACACATGGAAAAATTAAGTTCAAGGATATAATTGATTTAAGTATGGATTTACCAGCTAAAAGAGAAATAAATTGAAAAACGTATTCAATAATAATTGAAATGATGCGGGAAGATTGATGTGGAATGGAGAGAGAAAAAACAATGAACCATACTTACTCGCTTGAGAAAATCACCTGCGGTAAGACGTAAAACTATAGCACAAGGATATTGATTGGCCCGCATAAATTGATAAGGTAAGCAGAATGGCAAGAGGAGACTGTTCATAATGTGACAAACAGAATCATTTGAATTCTCATCGTCATCTGAGTCCTGATCCACTGTGACCTGATGTTGTTGGTCATTGCCATTATACCATTGATCATCATCATTATCACGATTATTGTCATTATTAACATCACCATGACTGTGGGCATAATGTCCTTTAGTGACTGTCATTTGGATATTATTTGTAGCTGGAGTCCTTTCTTGGACTTGGGCCGTTTGTTTGCAAGGCCACCACCGCTGGGATGTGTGTCCAATGCCGTTTTACATTGTGGACAAATGTGTGGCAATGTAAAACAGAAAACTTTCACATTGCAATGATGGAAGCATAAAATGCCCGGATCTGAGGTAATTGTGGTCGTTGATGTTGTTGTTGTTGTTGTCACTGCTGCTGCTGTTGGTTTATTTGTTGTTGATTGTGGTGGTGCCACAGAGTTTGTAGGAATTCCACAAAGGCCACTACTACACTGGCAGCACCTGCAGATGAAATACTTTTGCTCATGATTCTTGTTGTCATGCTTTGAGTGGATACCAATGTTGATGCTGCTGCTGTGGATGATACTTTGGCCAGAAGCTATAAGCGTTGCTGCTGTTGTTGATACCTTTGTTAACGTCGATGTTAACATGAACTGTTGTTCTTGTTTGTGCTATCCTCCTCCTTTCTGACCGCAGAAAATTGAATCACTTTTATTACTTTCACAGCAATTGTCTGGTTCGACTAGAACAGAACAGAGTTAGCTAAGGTTTTTTTGTGGAGGTAGCGAACCAGGTGTGTGCTGTGTGTAGTTTCTATCATTCAATTCCACTTGGTATTTCTGCTGATCCAACAAACTGCAATGAAACGGAAGAAAAAGAAAGATTCTTAGAAGTTTTAGTTTGACATTAACATTTGACAATTGTTTCAGGGAATTCCATTCATATGTAGGAAAGTTAGGTTTCATTCAACCACGAGTGTCACCGTCCATCTATATTCGTTCTACTTCTTCGATTTGTTGCCTTAATCAATAAATGGAATGTGTGTGGTTTTACTTTAATTTCAAAGAGTGGTGAGAGGAAACCAGTAGGGAAAGTGCAAAATGCAGACGAACCGACAATTTAATACCCCTCAAAACTTTGGGTATATACAAAGGGTGCTCGGACGTTTTTTACTGTACCAGACGTAGTGAGCCGACTTCGAACAATCAATGCACATGTCTTTTGGCAATATATGCAAAATATAAATTCAATCGGGCAAACTTAGAGTCGAAAATATACACGGGATTTTCAGTACGCTATGCCAGATTTCGTGCAAATCAAAAGAATTATAAAGGGACTTTAACGCACCATTTGGATTAAATCCGACGAAAATATGGGAGCTATATATATATATATATATATATATATACATAGCGCAACCGATTTCTACGAAACTTAACACACATCATTCTAGACTTAAATCAGTACGGTATGCCAATTTTGGTGCCAATCTAAAGATTTATAGGAGCTTTGGTGCACCATTTTCATTAAATCGGACGAAAATATATGGGAGCTTTATCTAAATCTTAACCGATTTTCAGGAAATTAACACACACTATTTTAGACTTAATTCAGTAACAAATTTCGTCCAAATCAAAATATATATAGGGACTTTGGTACACCATATACCTTAAATCGGACGAACACATATATGGAAGTTATATCTAAATCTGAACCGATTTTCAAGAAACTTAACACACATTATTCTAGACTTAATTCAGTACGCTATACCATATGTCGTGCAAATGAAAATATACATAGGGACTTTGGTACACCATTTACATTAAATCGAATGAAAATATATATGGGAGCTATATATAAATCTGAACCGATTTTTCCCAATTTCAATAGGGTTTGTACTACTAACTATATGTGGGGCTATGTAAAATAATGGACCTATAATGACCATTTTCAGTATAGATTAATACCACCTTTCAAAAATCAGCAATGACAAATAGCAGTTATGTTGGTATATAAAACTTCAAAATATCGAAAAGGGACGGTCATCAATTTATAAATTGATAAGTTCCGCCATATCATGATAAATGCTGATTTCCATACATCGTTTGGAAATGGTAGGTGCTACAGTTATTTAAATAGTATCCCATGCAGGGTGTAGTAGTAATTTTGTCAAATCGGGATATAGCCATCCTCAACTCCAATTCATGTAGTCAATCCCAAGGAGACAAATTTATATATATCTCACAAGGAAACCAATATCCCAAACTTCACATCCTAAATGGAGTAGCTTTTCACAGTCGTCCTATCTGCAGATTTAGGAATCTATATGACCACCAATTGGATATTACATAGATCTACCTTATTGCTATCACTAAGAAAAACATTTAACTCACTATATATATATATATAGGGATCACAATACGTCACTACAGGATCTGATCTTCATCGGGTGTCAGTGGAGTGGACTATTGACTTTTATGCGTGAAAGCGGAAACGTTGGAAACAATCGAATATCTACGGTTATAGGCACCTATACATTTTAATATCGCCAGCCATACTTCCAAATATTCGGTACTATGGTGATTTGTATACGTTTCAACCGAATTGTAATTTGCTACGTTTGGTTCTCATTGGGTATTAAATCTTCCTACAGAAAATGGTACATATAATGGTACACTCATTATTCGGTATATTTGAGGGTTTGGGGAATGTTTTTTACCCAATTCGCTTCAGTTTTGATTTATCCAATTTTTATGGGATCTTCTACCAAAAATAATCCATGACAGTTTCTCTTGGCTATTGGCTGGGAGGATAATACGATGCTTTAGGGTTACGTTAGGTTTACGTTATGTAAGCGGGAAAGGTGACAAGACGAATGGGCAGTTCGAGACCTATATAAATACTGTAACCAATGGACGTTTCAACAAGCTTCAAGCAAACATTATACAGGACTCACTACAAGAGGGATTAATAAGTATATAACCAGTGATACAAAAGTATTTTGCGGTAAGAATAAAATGGGTTAATTTGTTATTTACCGGACCTTTGCTACCTTCCTAAAACCAAAATGACCTCCTAAACAAAATATACCACAAAAAACGTTCTACTTCATATAACCACGAAAGAGTGATATTTTCTTTTTTATGTCATTTAATTTCAATAGCTTTTAAATAATTCTCCATTTATCTTCATTTTATTTTGCTTATATCGTGCTTTTCTATTGTGATTGCTCTGGTTGTTGTTAAAAACCATTAAAAGGGGGTAAAACCTTTTGTTCTTTTGTAGAATTTCTGTTTTACTTTTTTGTGGCTATGTTCACAATAGCTGCGCCATCGTAACATTTATTTGAATACAACTTCAACAGCATCTAAAGTGGTTTCGTTGTTTTATATAGTTGTTCATTTCTTTTTTGGCTTAATTTCTTCATGTTGATGTTGTGGCGTTATTTTCCACTCTATTCATTGGAAATGGTTGGTGGTATTTGTTTGCTAGATCTGTCATATATTTGGTGTAAAAGGTTGCCAAACAAAGGTTTAACATTTTTGTAAAGGTATTGGATGGAGAGGTATTTTTTTCTTGGGGAAAATGTTTTTAACAATAATATTCATGTAGTATAACATGGATCCTTCTGCGGGGCAATAATATCAAGGAATATACCTAAAGTTGAACCGATGTTGATATTTGTTGGCAGGAATATTTACCACCCAAGGAAAAACCCAACATTAAAATTAGAGCCAATTTGCTTGAAAACGTGTCGAAAATTCAGGGTAGCGTTTAATTGGGGCTACACAAAAATTTAAACCCATCTTAAATATAAAACACCTTAGAATCTGTTAAAATTTCCAAACTCTATATTAAATTTTAATAGATATCACAAAATTTACATATAATTTTATTCTGATCAAAAATTTATATACTGGGGTTTCTTTCCAATATTTCAAAGAGTTGTTAACGGAAAAGTTTAATATGTAGAGGATCGGTTGACTTCAGTAGTCAATCGGACCGATCATCAACAACGCCGTAGTTTTGCTGATTGGGTTCATGAAATGCGCGAACAAATTCGGACTATCGTCGAAAAATAATCTTTGTGGCTGCGTCAATAAAATTTGTCGAATGTCTGGGATGTTTGGAATTTAAAGTGGATTTATCGTTCCACGCTTTTTTTTTGTGATTTGGATGTACGGCCTCATTTTCGATATTTTGAAGGTTTCAACCACATTGTCCGGTATTTTGAATATTTTGGCCGAATTTTCCTACGTATTCCGTATTATTGAAGGGTGAAAACATTCTTGTAGAAAAATGGACTTTGTGGACTTACATCGAAGTAAGTCCATTTTTGATATAAGCGTCATATAGAAGTCCCCGTCAATATTCGGTATTTTCAAGTTTTCAGCCCCATTTTTTATTAAAAGGCTATAATTCTAGAAGTTTTGGCATTGGTTTCATACCACGATTGTGTTCAATTTTCAGTTTTTTAAGGTTTTAGTCGTGTTATTGAACCGAATTTGGCATTCCGATTTCTTCTCTTTCATACAGATTCACATTTGACACAGTTCCCATATAATGGAACTGTCCCATTTTTGGTAATTTGAAACTTTTTCCCTAAAGTGGCTTTAGTTTAGCGTTCCGAGTTCTTGAGGTGTGAAACGATTTTGAGGTTCGCTTCCGAAACTTTTAGCCACCGAAGTGCCTGTAATATAGCACTCGGGATTCCTTTCCAATCAAAAATTTCATATTTCAATATATGTCAGTGGCGTTTTTCGTCTTCCATAGAAATGCAATTTTATTGTTCCAAGCCCAGTTTCCCAGTTCCCAGTAATTTCTAATTTGTACTAAAATTTTAGTACTAAATTTTATTTGGAATGACAAAACAACACTTCTGATTGGAAAGCCTAGTACAATAGTGACCATTCGTATGTTTCATTATACCCTTCACCACACTTTGGTAGAGTGTCTTTGTGCATATGTTTGTAACAAGCAAAAGGAATCGAGATAGACACGAGGTTCCTTTTGAGAATAAGCATAGAATCATTTTCTGAGTCGATTTACGCATGTCCGTCTGTCCGCCCGTCCGTCCATGTATTTTTGTGAACAAAATACAGGTCGCATTTATGATCCGATTTGGATGAAATTTGGCATAGGTCACTTATTTGGCCAAAGGACGAACCCCATTGAAATTGAAAAAATTGGTTCAGATTTAGATATAGCTCCCATATATATTTTCGTCCGATTTAATGTAAATGGTGCACCAAACTCCCTGTATATCTCTCGATCTGCATGAAATTTGACACAGCCTAATGAATTAAGTCTAGAATGATGTGTGTTAAGTTTCCTGAAAATCGGTTTAGATTTAGATATATCTCCCATATAAATTTTCGTCCGATTCAATTTAAATGGTGCCCAAAGTCCCTATATATCTGTCGATTTGCACGAAATTTGGCATAGCGTACTGAATTAGGTCTAGATTGATGTGTGTTAAGTTTCGTGGAAATCGGTTCAGATTTAGATATAGCTCCAATATATATTTTCTTCCGATTTTATGTTAATGCAACGCCAAAGTCCACATATATCTTTCGATTGGCACGAAATTTGGCATTACGTACTGGATGGAGTCTAGAATGATGTGTGCTAAGTTTCTTGAAAATCGTAC